TATTATTATTATTATTATTATTATTATTATTATTATTATCATTATCATTATTATTTACCAAAGATCAAACTTGGGATCTTGTGCTTGTGAGGCAGGCGGCTGAACCACTGAGCTAAATCCTTGGCCTTATCCAGTTTAAAAAAATTTTTAATTTATTTTTGGATTTTTTGAGACAGGGTCTCACTATATAATCCAGGCTGCCTCAGTTCTGTGGTGATCCTCCTCCAGCCTCCCCAGTGCTGGGATCACAGGCCTGTGCTACCACTCCTGGCAGATAATCCAATTTAACTACCTTTCCAGGCTATTGCATGTGTTTCTTCGGCTTGACTTTTTTTGTTGGTTTGTTTTCTGGTGCTGGGGATCAAACTCAGGACCTTGCACTTACCAGGCAGTCACAGGGCCAATGAACTACATTCCTGGCCCTCGTCTTGTTTTATGTTTATGTTTTTTGGCACTGGCAGTGGAACTCACACATGCTAACCAGGTGCACTACCACTGAGCTAGCTACACCCTTAACCCTTTTCCTTTTCACTCAGTTGCCCAGGCTTGCCTCAGGCTTGCTGTGTTCCTACCTCAGTCTCCCAGGCAGTTGGGATTGCAGGGGTGGGCAATTGTGCCTATCCTGTACAATGAATATTCCTGTCCCTCACTTGCCAGTGACGCAAAAACTGCTCTTTTCTCATGGGGATTAATTTACTTACCCAGAAACAGCATTAGTTTGCATGCTGACTAGCACTGCTGTATGAAAAGCCAGTGAATGTACCACAGTGTGTGTTCTTTCTAGCTTTTAATTTTCTTTTTTCCTTGATGGGTGGGGTTGAAGTCGGATCTCACTACTTAGTCCAGGGCTGGCTTTGAACTCACTATGTAACTCTCCATGATCCTCCTCCTTCAGCCTCCTGGTACAGGGATTACAGGTGTGCACCACCACACTTGGCTTTCTCTAGCTTTTCTGTCTTTTCAAAGTTTTTAAAAATTGTTATTGCTGCTTTTTTTTTTTGTGGTTTTTTTGAGACAGGGTCTCACTATGTAGTTGAGACTGACCTGGAACTCACTATGTAGCCCAGGCTGGTCTCGAACTCACAGCGATCCTCTTGCCTCAGCCTCCCAAGTGCTGGGATTACAGGCGTGCGCCACCACACCTGACTTTGGTTATTGCTGCTTTGAACCCTTAAAGCAAAACAAAAATCCCAAAACTATCAAGCACGCTCATTTAAGTGTGTGTGATACAGGTTTTTCTTGACAGGTTTGTTAAGAAGTTGGAGCACTCTTGGAAAGCACTGGTACATGACGGGGTGAGTAGCAGTCAGGAAAGGCTTCCTCCCACTTCTGCCTCTTAGTTCTGTTCCCTCCTCCTTGATTTCTTCCATGCATTTAAAAATTCATTCTGTCTTTTACCTTGCTTTGAGGTCTCTGTCTTGGGGAAAATGGCCCTCACTGTACGGATCCTCTTGCTGGGTGCTCGGTCTCTAACTGTGTAGCCCTCTCTTCTGCTCTGCAGGACACTGTATCAGTGCACCGTCCAGGCTTCTACGCCGAGCGATTCCAGCGCTTCATGTGCAGCACAGTGTTCAAGAAGATCCCCCGTAAGTGGCTTCTTCCAGATGAACCCCCAATGGCTCCCTCACCCCCGCACATTGGGGGCAGAACACTTCTGTCAGGGAGCTGCAAAGGCCAGAGGCCTCTTCCGCTCTGCCTGCATCCCGTGAGAGCTGCTTCTCGTCCTTATGTCAGTCACTGTGTCTGTCCCAGTCGTTTCCAAGTTGCTGCTTTCCCCCTGGCTCTCCCTACATGTGTCATTGAGGTGAGGGCCACTCTTGGGGAATTGGTGGGATTGCAAAAAAAGAGAATGTGTAGTTGTGGTTGTAGAAAGAATCTGTGCCACAAGCTCAGATGGAGCCACACGTGTTCAGAAACAGACAAGGATATCACTGGTGTCTTTTTTTTTAAATGCATATCACGTGCCAAGGAGTTCTGTCTAGTTAAATGGTTAAAGTGTTATTCATTTCTGTTTACTGAGTTTTCTTAGTCTCTTCCTTGGTTTGGAAGTGTTAGTATTTTTTTCAAATCCTCCATGCTATTGCCACTGGCCGATTCTAGTTTCTCCTTCCTTTCTCCTCATCAAAGTCATTATTAGTCCCATAGTGAGGCAAAGGGGACCTAGGCATGCCACACAGTCTGAAAAATCTTTCTTGATTTTTGTTTTTGTTGTTTGTTTTGAGACGGGGGTCTCACTGTATAGTCCAGGCTGGCCTGGAATTCATGGTGATCCTCTTTCTTGCCTCAGCCTCCTGAGTGCTGGGATTACAGGCATGCGCCACCACACCTAGTCCTTTTCTGTTTTGATACATCATAATGTAAATTACCTTGCTGTGTACATAAGTGTTTAGACAATGTAGAGGGAAAGGGTAGTCTTCGTTGTGTTTTACCGGGGCTACTAGTAAAGAACAAGGGAATTACGGAACAGAGGACATCTTGTCAGGTAGAGGCAAAACCATCAAGATTGCATTGGGGGCCGTATGTGCATGTCACCTTTGTTCGAGGCTTTCTGTTTCTTTCCAAAGGAAGAGCGACCTTCCTTCTAAATGGCACTTCCTAGAGCCCATCTTTGTGACAGCCCTTCTCCCTGCTTTGCTCCAGAAAAACTTCGGGTGTGGATGGTGATGACTAGAGTTTGTATCTGTGTCTTGGTGATGGTTTCTGAGGTTGGTGCTAAGTAGGCTCTCTTTCCCTTTTGAAGTGAAGCCCTCTCCTTCCAAAAAGTTTCGGTCTGGCTCATCTTTCTCTCGGCGAGCAGGCCCCAGCGGCAACGCCTGCGTTACTTACCAGCCGTCGGTCTCTGGGGAGCACAGAGCACAAGTGACAACAAAGGCGGAAGTGGAGCCAGGTCAGCGCCAGGGCGGGGGTCCCTGTGTGATTGTGTTTTTCTCCCCTCCCTTCTGAGTCCTAATCCTCTGTGGCCAGGACTTCTCCCCTCCATTTCTATCTAGGAAAAGCCAAGTCACTACTTGTTTTTCCCATTGTTTTCTTTGCTCATTGTCTTTTCTGTTTCATTTATTGATTTACTTCCCTTTTTTCTTTTCCAGATGCCCACCTTGGTCGTCCTGATGTATTACCTCAGACTCCACCTGTGGAGGAAGTCAGTGAGGACTCCCCTGTTTCTGGCCCTGGTCTCTCACATGTAGTTGGAGAGACTTTGCAAGTACTAAATACGAGGTTGGTTCCTTGACCCTTTTCATCATATACTCTCATTCTCTTTTTTTTTTTTTTTTTTTTTTTTTTTTGTAGTACTAGGGATCAAACTCACGGGCTCACATATGCTAGGCAAGTGTTCTTCCACTGTGTTACATCCCCAGCCCTGTTAATTTTGAGACAGATTCTTCTAAGTTGCCCTGCCCAGACTGGCCTCAAACTTAGAAACCTCCCACCTCGGTTTCCCAAGTAGTTGGAATTACAGGAGTATACTCCCATATCTAGCTCTGGTCTTCCGTAATTCTATTTTTCATGGGATCATTTGTCCTCTGTACTAAATTTATGCAGGTTCACTTTCTTAGGAGCTTAGCTTTAGCTATTTGGAAAAGCGTATCCATGCCTTTTATGTTTTTAAGGTGTGTGTGAAGAGTTTATGGTACTCACATATCTCAACTAATCCTTGATCTTTTGTTGAGTAAAGTGAGAGCTCTCAGGGTTTTTTTTTTGGTACCAGGGATCGAACTTGGGTCCTTGCGCTTGCAAGGCAGGCGGCGGAACCACTGAGCTAAATCCCGAGCCCACTCAGTTTTTTTGTATTACCCCTCACATATAAAAGATTATCCCAAAACTCACTGCCTTCAAATAACAAACTTGCATTATGGTTTCTGTGGGTCAGGAATCCAGGCCCACCGTGGTTGGGACTTCTGGCTCAGTCTGCCATGAGGTGGCAGTCATACAGTTGGCCAGGATAGGGTCTTGCCTGACAGCCCAATCGAGGGGGTTTCCTTCTCGGTTCATTGATGTGGTTATTGGCATGATTCGGCTCCCAGTGGGTGCTGAACTGAGGGCCTCAGTTTCTAGGTGGCTCTGTGCTGGGGCCCTTCCTTTGCTCTGTGACCTCTCCACAGGAGAGCTGGCTTCTCTCACAGTGAGAGAGAATGTTCCTGAACAGGAGTCACAGCCCCTTTATAACCTAATCTCAGCATTGACACTTCTTACTCATTGATGCAGTCTACCTTCAAGAGGAAGGAATAAGCTGTGCATCATGGCGCACACCTATAAACCCAGCACTCGGGAAGCTGAGGCAGGAGGATCACTGCAAGTTTGAGGCCATCCTGGGCTACATAGTGCATCCAAGGCCAGCCTGAACTACATACTGAGACCCCGTCTCAAAAAAAAAAAACAAAAAAAAACCAAAAAAAACACAACCACGAGGCAGGAATGACATGAGGTTTCCATAGCAGAAGCTGGGATGATTGGGAGCCATTTTAGAATCTGCCTGTCATAGTCTGCCCTGGCTCCCAGTGATGCACATCTCTGTCTGCAGATTCATGTGCTCTCTCCCAAGGTCTCCAGAAGTCATTCAATTATTGCATTAGCTCAGAGCTCCACATTTTGTTACCCAAATCAGGCTCAACTCTGAATAAACTCTCCATGTAGAGTTCCTCAGTCTGAGGCCCATGAAACTAAGAAGAGGAGCTTTCTTCTCCCCTCACACCAGGCATCAGTGTGGTAGGATAGACCTTTACTAAAGTGTGCACTCAGTGTACTAAAGGGAAAATGAGGATGCTTGCCTGGTCTGCAGGAGGTTTGGGTTAGAGTCCCAGCACCACCAGAAAAAGGGAAAAACACGAAAAGAGTTGTGGTTTTGGTTTGTTTTTTTGGTGGTATTGGGATTGAACAGAGGGTCTTTACACTGAGCTACATCCTCAACCTATTTATTTGATGGTGGCATCTTTTCTTTTCTTTTTTATTGGAACAGAGTCTCAAAATGTAGTTCTCCTTGTAGTTTAGGCTGGCCTTGAATTTCCTGTGTAGTCCAGGCTGCTCTTGAACTCCTAGAAATTATCCTTCCTTAGCCTCCTCAGCACTGGGATTACAGGTGTAAACCATCATTCTGACACTTGAGAGTGTGTGTGTGTGTGTGTGTGTGAGAGAGAGAGAGAGAGACAGAGAGAGACAGAGAGAGACAGAGACAGAGAGAGACAGGGTCTTGCGAAGTTGCCCAGGCTGGACTTAAATTTAAGATCCTCCTGCCTCAGCTTCCCAGAGTGTTCACACAGAGAGATCACAGGCATGTGCCACCACACCCAGCTAGGAGTTATTGGTTTGTTTGTTTGTGGTATCAGGGATCAAACTGGGGTCCTTGGGCTTGGGAGGCAGGCACCCAGAAGCACTGAGCCAAATCCCCGGCCTAGGAGTTACTGATTGATTAACTATTCCAAAACCCAGGAAATAGGGTTTCTTTGATTAGGTTTTAAAGTGTGAGGACAATTTTTCATGTCTCTTAGTTTCACACTTCACATAATTCAGGACTCTAGATTTTGTCCTGAATTTTTCTCTTTTGTGGAAGCTAGAATGTGTTTGCGTGTAAGTCGTTTTCTCAGTCTGCTTCCTTCCAGTAGATTTGGTGTGGGGAGTGAGATCTGGTGTTCTCTTCATTTTTCAGTCTGTCCCTTTTGGTCCAAACTGTCAGTGTTTTTGCTGATAAAACTTCCTCATAGATTTTACTTCCTGCCTGTGATTATCACTGAGATTCACTCCATGGACAGATGCATACTCATAAATATCTTTTTGATAAGCCCTCTACTTTATAGATACCCTAGTTCTTCAGTTGAGAGGTTCTGTGAGACCTGTACATGATCTTTGTCTGCTTTTGCATTGCTGGTTGGAATTGAAACCAGAGCTTCACACGTGCTAGGGAAGTGCTCTATGTGTGAGCTACTCTCAGCCGCTCTTGTTTGTTTGTTTGTTTGTTTGTTTATTGGTACAGGGGATTGAACTCAGGACCTTGTGCTTGCGAGGCAGGTGGCAGCACCTCTGAGCTAAATCCCTGTCCCTTGTTTTTTATTTTTAAAATGTATTCATCTTTATTTTGATAGTACTGAGGATTGTATCCATGGCCTTTGTCTTAGTTACTTTCTTGTTGCTGAAACAAAATACCTGACACCCAAAGTTAAGAGGGGAAACATTTCTTTAGCTCACAGTTTGTAAAGGTTTCAGTCCATAATGGGCTGGCTCCAAAGGAGACCGGTATGGCATATAGCCATTGCAGAGGAGAAACAGTTCATGGTGGACAGAAGGTAGCAAAGCAGGCAAGAGAGAAGACAGGCCTCTTTCTGTCCCTTAAATTGTATCTGGGCTACCTGGATTAGGGAAGTGCCAAACCAGTCAGTGGGCTGATTTAGTAATCACCTGGCATTGCACCACAAATCAGTCACACACTTTAAATTCAGTCACCTCTGAAAAAGCCCCCACCCATGACTTCATGAGTGTTCAGGAGAACATTTAGACACAAGCTAACAGCTTTCATGCTGAGCTGCATCCCTTGCCCTTTTTTGGTCTTGAGACAGGGTACTCCCTAAATTGTCCAGACTGGAATCAGATTTAAAGATGCCTCAGCATCCCAGAGTCTGGCATCACAGGCATGTGCCGCCATGCCCAGCTCTTTTTCTGAGGTCTTAATGAAATGTCTTACAGTCATACCCTTATCTTCATCTTTGGATCCTATTTTCTTGACAGTGCCCTGGATTTGATCTTTGCTCAAGATTTTTCAATTTTAAGGTTGAATATGGTGGTGCACACCTGTAATCCCAGCAGTCTGGGAGGCTGAGGCGGGAGGATCACAATTTTGAGCCCAGCTTGGATCTCTTAGTAATTTAGTAAAACCCTATCTCAAAAAGAGAAGGAGAAAACAGCTGAGAAAGTAGCTCAGTGCAAAGACCCTGGGTTTCAGTCCCAGTACTATTTGTTTGTTTTTGAGATAGGGTCTGGTTGTATAGCTCAGGCTGGCCTGGAACTCATGGTAGTCCTCCTGCCTCAGTGTCCCAAGTGCTGGGGTTACAGGTGTGTGTCACCACTAATCCCTAATACTTCTAAAAAAATTAGGGAGTAGCCATGACTCTCAGATCTTTAATTATGCTTGGAGCCCCTACCCTGCCCCCACCCCATTGCCAGCTTCCAGCCCTTTAATCAATTTCACGATATTAAATATTAATCCCACCCCCGAAAAATTTTAGCATTGATTGCCCTCTGGTGTTCAAAATTTTTAAATATTTCTCAAGTCCTGGCTTCTTTTTGTTTACTGTTTCTTTTCTTGTTTTCCTTCTTGTTTTACTATAAACTTCGAGGAAGTGTAGGTGGTAGGGCTGGCAGGCAATAGCTTAGCGTGAGAGCATGTAGTTAAGCATGTGTGAGGCTGTGAGTTCAGTTCCTGGTACCTCCACCAAAAAAAAGGATGAGACACCTTACATACTTTGTTTAGAAACCTCCTTAGCTAGGTCCCTTAATTCAGTAGGCACATAACTGCATTTTTAAAGTGAGGTGTGGTGTTTCATGTTTTGTAAGGCCAAGGCAAGAGGATTACAAGCTTGTGCCTGGCCTGACCTACATAGCGAGTTCAAAGCCAACCTGGACTACATAGTGAGATTTTTGTCTCAAAAAACAAAAAATAGTAATAATAAGAATAAGATAGGGCTGGGGATTTAGCTCAGTGGTTCCACTGCTTGCCTTACAAGTGCAAGGTCCTGAGTTTGATCCCTGGTACCAAAAACAAACAAAGGTAAATTTTAAATATCTTAAAGGGTTAGTCATGGTGGCACATAGCTGTAATCTCAGCTACTTAGGAGTCTGAGGCAGGAGGAGTGCAAATTTGAGGCCAGCGTGGGCAAATTGGTGAGACTCTATTTCAAAATAAACAAAAAGTGGTGAGGGGCACCGCTCAGTGGTATAATGCTTGCTTGCTCATAAGGCCTTGGGTTTCATCCTTGATGCTGTTTTAAAAAAAAAAAAAGGCTTTTATTAAAACAATGTGCTTTTTAAATCCAGTAGCTTCTTTTTTCTGAATTCTGAATTGATTCTTAGGGAAAATGTGAAGAAACAGTGTAAGATTTGACCTTACAGGAAAGTCCTTTTTTTTTTTTTTTTTTTTTTTTTTTTCCATTTTTTTTTTTTGTACCAGGGATCATACTTGGGCCCTTGCACTTGTGAGGTACATCATACATCTTTTGTGTGTGTGTGTGTGTGGTTTTTTTTTAATAATATATCTTAATTCCCTTTTTTCATCACCTTTTCTTTCCCTCCTTCCCCTTTCCAATCATCTTTTGATCCCTTGTTAGGGTTTATTGAAAGTCCTTTTTTTTATCTTCTCATTCTTTGCTTTGCTTCTTTTTTCCTCTGGTTAGTTTGGCGTTGGAGAAGCTTGAAATTACAGAGGAGGAGTTCCCCCACGTGAGTGTCCCGGTGTGCAGGCAGGGAGGCTGTCGGAGGTGGGCAAAGGGAAGCGGGCAGTGGACAAGGTTAGAGGCCTGGGTGGCCCTTAATCGTGGGTTTTACCAATTTGATGATTTTGTAACTCATCTTTGGAAGATGAGGATGAAATAGAAGAAAGTGTCTTTACTTTGCAACCTAAGTTGAAGTTAACTTGAGTTCCATTCCCGCCTCCTACTTCCTTAACTTTGCACCTTTTCCCTTCGCAGTGAGCGACAAGCCTCAGAAGACCGGAAACAAGACCCTACTGTTTCTGTGATACCACGTCAGCCCTTGCCCGGGAATGCTCCGTTTTCTTCTTGGTCATCAAAAACAAACAAAAAGGAATTGAATGTGGAGCTAGGGAGCTCCACCGCCTTCATGAGGAGGAAGCAGTTCTTCCTCGTCCTCTGAGTGGGTGTTGGTGCCCTGGACAGTTGAGGACAGCAGCAGCCCTTCCACTCCAGAAGCGGCTGGCACGGAGTTCTGCTGGGCCAGCCTCAGCTTCCACGGCTAAGTTTCTTCAGACTCCCATTGTTTGTACTGGCAGGGCTTGCTGGACTTTGGCTCTCCTGCCGTCGTGCACCTTTCACCAGGAGCTGGACTCTCGTTTCCTCAGGACAGACTGCTGGTACACCATGATCCCCTGCTCCCCTCTGGTCGCTGGAGGAAGACCCAGAATTGTAAAGGGTTTTGGGGGAATAAGGGTGTTTAACCATTTCTATCTCCCTTCTTTTTTCTTTAAAAAGGACAAGAACAAAGAGCACACAGCACAGTTTCAAGCCAGTTTTAAGTCAGAACTCGAAAAGTCAGGTACCTGCCCACAGGGTTCCCACAGATGAGTCCCGGGGGTTGTGAAACGGAAATGTGGCAATTGCTCTGCCGGCAGCAGCTCCTGTCACCTCATAGGATGAGGACATTCTTAAGGCTGCGGGATGAAAGGAATGGGACATGGGGCCATCTTTGCCCCTTTTGTTAAAACTGGGGCTGCCCTGGGCTAGGAGGTGAGAACTCTTCCCAGACAGGACCACACTCACTGCCAGGCCATAATGGTTGCTAATACTTTGCAGCTTGAAATGTATTCTAGTCATTTTTCTAAATACGAAGGTTTATCAGATGAATTTTAGACCATCCTTCCAAGGAAATTTCTTCTTTGTTCTTCCTGTCTTTTCGAGCAGTGTCCTGCTATTAGTGGAGCTGAGGTGGACAGAGGCCTGTGTTAGTGAAGCGAGGCAAGGTTCTCTTCAACTCAGGGGAACCAGCAGACACTTGCCTCGGTGACTTCATGACTGTGCCCGTGCTCTGTTTCTCTCTGTGCAGGGACTTTGAGAGCCCTCTCCTCCTGGTCTGAGTTGTTGGCTGTCCATCCTATCGGTCCGCTCTTGTCAGGAGAAGAAGGCGGCCTGGCGTCTGAGGCAGGCTGTCGGAGTCCTAGTCTCTCCTCCATCCCACTGTACCGTGGTAGTAGGTTAGCCTGTACCCCAAGTAACTGTCTATATTAGACACCCCAGCCAGTTTCTGGCTCCCTGTCTTTGCTGCCGTGTTCTTTTTTACAAGAAGAAAAGAAACAATTCTTGCTATTTTTTTTTCATAATTTACTATTTATGACGTATTTAAGTGTTTTATTCAGGACAGAGTTCTGTAACTGGTGGGAGGGAATATTTGAGGGAGGGTCTTAGGGAAAGGAATGGGGACTCAACGTTTTTATGAAGTGTTACTATTTGCCTCCACTTTGTATTGTTCAGAAATGGCAAATGCAATTTAAAAGTAATAAATATCTGGTTTTACTGTATTAAACTTCCATCAGTTATTTGGATGATCTCCCTTTTCTCCTTTGTTGTACTCTTTCTTGTTCAGTTTTTGTCTCTTTGGTATTGGGGGTTGAACCCAGGAACTCGAACATGCTAAGCCAGTGTCCTACCTCGGAGCTGCACCTCCCGCCCTCTCACTTCCTTCTCAGCCCATCTGCTGCACCTCTCACCCAGGCTCCGCTTCGTTCAGGCGTCACTTCCCAACTTCCCTTCCTCCCGCGTCAGTCTGACTCTGGCTCTCATTCCTTCCTTTCCAGCCACTTCACCATGATTTAACAGGGATTTGAGTCAAAAGCTCAAAGTTTACTCAGGTTTAAAAGGAAAGGAAGGTGGAAAAGCAAGCTTGATGTTGGCTGCCCATAGGTTCCTTGCTTTTCCTTCTGGCTGTAGGATATGCTAAAACATGAAAATGGCTTTTTTCCATGAGGTTGAAACTCGGCAAAGAAAGCCAGGCGTGGGGCTGGGGCTCAGTGGTTCCACTGCCTGCTTCGCAAGCGTAAGGTCCCAAGTTCAATCCTGGTACAAGACAAATAAAAAAAAGCTAAGCGTGGTGGCGCACACCTGTAATCCCAGGACTTGGGGGGCTGAGGTAGGAGGAGCAGTGTGAGTTCAAGGCCAGCCTGAACTACACACTGAGACTCTGTCTCAAAAGGAAAAATGAAAGTTTATTCCAAGTTAGGGAACCTTTTGAAAAGCAAGTTCACTAAGCATTGTTCCTTCCATGCCACTGTTCCTGTCCTGTTCAGGTCATGGTTACAAGTATTTATGTAACAGCTATGTCCAAGGTACTTGGAGGTTGAAAGAAGTGATTGGCTTCAAGAGTTTATAATATCTAGGGGAGAAACATACACAAATACATTAAGAAAAATTAGATGTGCTACTGCTAAGGATTTAAGCTCTTTGAAAGAGTGGTACAAAATATAAAAGTAGAAGGAAATTAGAGGTTACTGTGGGCTGCAAATTTCACTGCAGCACAATGACCTAGGAGCATGAGAGTGGTCTGTCTTAGGGAAGACACGGTGGTAGGCACATTGTGCTAGGTATGGGGGGAGGTATCAGAAATGCTGCTGCCAGACAGAAACTTTCACTTTATAGTGTAGACAGTGGGGAAACATGGGATATTTTGAAAAATATTAAAATAGTTCAGAGCCAGGAGGTGTATTTAGTGGCAAAGTGCCTGCCTCACATGTGAGGTGCTGAATTCAATCCTCAGAACTGGGGGCAAAGAAGAGAGACCAATCTGACTGTTCTAACAGGGTGGACCGAAAAGGCAGACCTGAGTGGTACGCGTGGGCAATGATGGGGTGGCAACAGGAGACAGCATGAATGCTGCAGAGAAAAACAACTTTGTGCTGGAAAGAGGATTGGAGGAACTGAGGATCCTCAGGTCTTTTGTTTGTTTGTTTTTCCTTTGATACCAGGGATTGAACTCGGGTCCTTGTGCTTATGCGGCAGGGAACCACCAAGCTAAATCCCGGGCCCAGGATCCTCAGCTTTGGTTTGACTTTGCCCACAGGCTCAGCCCTCAGTGGTTGTTTTGTCTTTGTTTTTTGAGACAAGTGCTCACCATGTAGACTGGGCTGGACTCCTACCTCAGCCGCCTGCTGGGATCACAGGCATGCAGCTTCGTGCCCAGCTAGGCCTGTCCCTCAGGAAGGCTCGGTAAGAGAATACATTCTTCCGAATAGAAATTGGATCTGAGTGTGTTTTAGGCACAAATGGTCTTTGCCAGCCTGTCACTCCCTCTTCAAGGCATTGCAACTCCGAAAGCCCTGCGTTAGATCCCTTTCGTCGTCCTAGTGTCCCTCTAGTGGTCGGGGGCAGCAAGCATTCATTCTGGAGCTGTCCACTAATTTAGATTTAGATACAAATGCATTGCGTCCGTCACTGTAAAACTTCTATACAAAGGGAAGTCAAAATCACAGGATGATGAAGCTGGAGATCCTCACCTGGCCTAATGTATTAAGCATGTCATCAGTTACTCAGGCATTCACGTAGTTGGAACCGCATTCATTCTTTAAACATTTTAAAGATAGGCCAGCTGAAACAATTCCAGATTAAATTAATACTTTGAGGCCGGGGGTTTAGCTCAGTGGCCTCCTGCCTCGCAAGCATGAGGACCCGAGTTCGATCCCTGGTACCAAAAAAATAAATTAATACTTTAAGATTTTCAAGGACACGAAAAATCAGGTAATTATAAAATCTTCCGAAGTCATTTTAAAATTCACTATGATCATGGTGGCCCACACCTGTGACCAATGCATGTTGGAGGTGGAGGCAGGAGGATTCTGTGAGTTCAAGGCCACCCTGGGCTACATATGAAGACCCTGTTTCTAAAAGTAATTTTTTTGGCTGAGCATGGTGCATTCCTGTAATTTCAGCACTTAGGATGCTGAAGCAAGAGGGTCTCTGTGAGCCTAGGCTCCATAATGAGACTGTCATAAAAAAAAAAAAAAAAAAAAGAAAAAAAAAAACAAAAACACACAAACAAATAAATAAATAAATAAATTTTTACCGGTGGTTCTGGGTATTTATTTATTTATGCTGGGGATCAAACTCTGGACTTTGTGCTTGTGAGGAGGAGGCAGCACCACTGAGTTAAATCCCCGACAATCACTATTTAAATATTAAAGACAGTCTACATAGGAAAAAGGATGATCTTTGTTGAGATGTTTAATTTTATACAGGGGAAAAAATGTGCACATATACTATTTAGTTACGATAGTTGGGGGTCCAGGGATTTAGCTCAGTGTTTCTACCACCTGCCTCACAAGCATAAGGACCTGAGTTCAATCCCCAGTACAAAAAAAAATAATAATAATAATAAAAAAACTTTTTGAGACAGTGTCATTACGCAGCTACAGGCTGGCCATAACTCTCAGCAATCTTCTGGTCTCAGCCTCCTGAGAGCTGGTGTGTGGGAAACGTGTGCCACTATTTCCAGGTTTTTTTTTGTTTTTTTGGTACCTGGGATTGAATTTAAAACCTTGACTTTTGAGGCAGGTGGTAGCACCTCCTGAGCTAAGTCCTTGGCTTTTTTTTTTTTTAATTATGGAAAGTTAGTGAACTGCCATAACCCTTCAATAACTGTCATCATAAATACTGCCGATTTGATCTGTACTTTGTACTGCACCTTCATTTGCTGCATCTCCAAGGATTAAGTTAATCCTAAGCATCATATCCTTTCACCCACAAATATTACAACATATGATTTGAGATACGGACCTTCCCCCTCACCGCCATGCTGAGGATCAAATACCTAGTGTCTGTGCACGCTGGGCAAGTGCTCTGCCACTGAGCCATGCCCCCAGTCCTGATAAGACTCAGCACACACACATCCAATGTAATACTATTCTCAGCCTAAAATCAGTGTTCAGAGTTTCCAAATTGTCTTACAAATAGGTTGGGTATTGTTTTGTTTTTGTTTTTTGGGACAGGCCTTGAAATGGAGTTCAGGCTGGTCCTGAACTCAATATGTAACAAAGGCTGGCCTCGAATTCTCCCCGTCCCCCTGCCTCAGCCTCCCAAGTGCTGGCATTACAGTCATGCGACACCACTCCTGGCATTACAAATAAGTTTTTGCTTTTGTTTTGCGGTGACGGTTATTGAACCTAGGGGCGTGCCTGGCTCTAGAGCTCCTTTTTTGTGTTACCACGTTAACCCTCTTCACTACCCAACTTCCCTCTTATTTTGGCTGAGCCTACAACTCCCAGAATGCAACGCGAAGATGGAGGCGGGACCAGCGTGCCGAACCGAGGTCTTTGATTGGTGAGTACCTCCGGGCCAATTGCCGGAGCTCTTGTTAGGCAGTCTCACAGCCGGTCGGGAGGGAGAAAGGTAGCAAGATGGTGTTGGAAAGCACTATGGTTTGGTGAGGAGCTACTCGGGGGCCCGGGGGGCGGGACTGGGTGAGGGACGCGCACTGAACCAGGCCAAAACCGATAGACGAGGTGGGGCCGGGAGCGAGCGGCCGGGTCGACTCCCTGAGTCATCCTGGGGCCCGGGCCCTGGTACCCCTTGTATCCCGCAGCCCCTGGGCAGCCATTGCCCACCTGATCCCTGCGGTCTTGCTTTAGCCCAGCGCCGTCCTCTGTAGACCAGCGCTCGGTCTGTCTTTAGCCTGCGTCCCGGACTCCAAATGGATGCTAGGAAGAGAGGTGGTAAATTGCCCCGTTCACTTTTCTCCAACTCCACTACCTTTCCTGGAGTATCGTCAGAGTTACAGCTCACAGGTGGTTTGTACGTGTCAGGCAATTTACTGTATTTCATTTGAAGTTTACTTAGGATAAATATTCTTCCATATTATAGATGAGCGTTGTCGATTTTAAGTGACTCCTCTGGTCACACAGCTGCTCAAGTGGTGGAGGCAGGATTGAAATCCAGGTCTTGCTTTCCCAAAGGCTCTTAGCAATGAGCTAGCTCTCTTCAGGCCCATTTGAGTTTCTGAATCTGATGAAGCCGAGGACATAGCTTTGGAAGGTTTCAAGAACTTCTAAATATGACCATTGAAGAAATACAGAATAGTACACACACACACAGAGGTGCCAGTTAGAAGGAAGAGACGAATAGGTTTGTTTGGTAGGTGGCGGGTGGGGGATAGCACTCCCAGATAAATGCAGGATGCCCAGTTAGATTTGATTTTTAGGTAAACAATGAATAATTTTTGTAAAGAATAACTATAAGTATTTCTAAGTATTGCACTAAAAAGTTACTTGTTTATCTGAAATTCAGGTTTAATTGAGAATCCTGTATATTTATTTGCTAAGTCTGGCAACTTCTGGGAGAGAATATATTACAGTAGAAAGAGGACAGGATCTGGAACCCAAAAGAATGTTTTCTGGTATTTAGCAGTTGCTAGTTTTTGAGAATGTTAGTAAATATATCTATAAGTTGGTGATTATAGCAATATCTATCTGTCTTACTGCAGTAGAAAATAAACTATTTGAGTTGGTGTTTCTTAAACTGTAGAGAGCTACGTATATATAAGTGGCCAAGGCACTTGGGAGTACTCAACGAAAATATGTGGTCCAGGTAGGGTGGTGCACACCTGTAATCCCAGCTCTCAGGAGGTTGAGGCAGGAGGATCACTGTGAGTAAGTTTGAGGCCTGGGCTACGTAATGAGTTCAAGACTATCCTGGACTACACAGCGGGACCCTGTCTTAAAAAAATCTTAAAAGAAAAAAATGTAGGAAGAGCCTTGAAAAGATTTAGACTGCTATTGAGAGAAGTGTGTGGTGGAGGGGAGGCAGATACAAACCTGAAGGGTAAACATCCAGCACGCTAGAGAGTAGGAAATAGACCAGTTAGAGTTATGTGTAATTTAAGTTGTTTAAAGTGATTTTGTTTTGTTGTTTTGTCCTGGGGATCGAACTCAGGTCCTTGTGCTTGTGAGGCAGGCAGCAGAACCACTGAGCTAAATCCCCAGCCCCCACCTTTTTTGTACCGGGGATTGAACTTGGGACCTTGAGCATGTGAGGCAGGCGGAACCACTGAGTTAAATCTCCTGCCCACGTAGTTTCTTTTTTGGAAGGTAGATGGGATCAGACAGAAGATCGTGAATGTCAAACAGATTGCTGTTTGTCTTCTTCCTTCCATAAAAGACTATTAAAATCCTGTGGAGGGGGTTAGACCTGTGTACAAAATTGCATTTAACCCAGCACACTGGGAGGCTTAAGCAGGAGGATTTGAAGTTCTAGCCCAGCCCAGATTGGGCAACAGTTACTGAGACCCTGTCTCAAATTTTTAAAAGGCTGGGGATTGAGCTCAGTGTAAAGGCCCTGGGTTCAGTCCCCATTGTGCCCCTTCAGCACCACCTGTTGGTGGCATTGTGGCATTTAAGAATATTGATATTTTGAGAGAGGGTCTCACGAAATTGCCCAAGATGGGCTTGTTCTTGGGACCTCCTGCTTCACTGCCTCAGTCCCCTGAGAGCTGGGGTTACAGGTGTGTACCAACGCACCCAGCTTTGTGTTCTCCTTTAAAATGAAGACTTGGGTTGACAGATATCTTAAGCCCTTATTTTGATATGCATTCTTTTTGGGGAAGTTTTGCATACCATTGAGCAAAAGTTACTGCAACAAATACATACATTATTCCATTCATAGCAAGCTCAAGGTTGGGAAAAATAAAACATTCTGCCCGTTAGGGATGCTTACACAGACATACGGCACCTGTGTCTCTACTACCACCGATGCCCTACCCCGCGGGATCCAGTTCATGACAGGACTGCTCTGCACTGTCTGTTCTGCCTCAAAGCCCAACTCTCACTGGAGCACCATTTCCGCTCCTTTACCCATCTGCTGGTTTTGCTCACAGTCCTTGATCTTAGTAGCTGTCCTGCCTGCACCATGCTCAGAGCCTTCCTTGCTTGTGTGCTATATGTGGTCTCCCCCTTTGTTAGACCTAGGGAGGCAGTCACTTCTGTTCTGGGAGAACTGACAGCAGTGTGTCAGAGAAGCGCTTGTCTCTGCACAGGCAGCGGAGTCGGCCTCGTCCCATTTTGTATTGTTTGTTCAGGTGTGCGATTGAGCTTCTGCTGTAAGAACAAGGTGCTGCTTCCTGCTTGTGCTATTTGCTGTGCTACCTATTTTGTGTGCATTTAACCCTCATGACAATCCCATAGGGATGGGTCCAGGAAAACCCACTACAAGTAACTGAACCTCAGGGAAATTAAGCAACTTCCTTAGAAGCATAGAATTTGAAAGTAGCAGAATTTGAGTCTGCTTGACCACTCTCCTATATTCCCTTTTCTACTTGTTTTCAAGTAGCTTCTTTCTCTCTCTTTTTTTAAGACAGGGTCTTACTATGTAGTTCAGGCTGGCCTTGAACCCACTGTGTAGCTCAGACTGGCCTCAAACTCATGGAGATCCTCCTGCCTCGGCCTCCTGGGTGCTGGGATTACAAGCATGCATGACCACACTAGGCATTTTAGTAGCTTCTTAAGTACCTCTATCTCTCTCTCTCTCTCTCTCTCTCTCTCTCTCTCGACAGGGTCCTACTATACAGTTTAGACTGGCTTTCAACTCACTGTGTAGTTGAAGTTGGCCTCGAACTCACTGTGATCCTCCTGCCTCAGTCTCCTGAGTGCTGGGATTACAGACATGTGCTACCATGCCTGGCTGTCATATTTGGTTTATATTTATTGCCAGCCAAAGCATTCTAAAGAAAAATTTCTCAGTCTAGTGTTTTGCTTGCCAGGAGAATCGAGGTATCTCATGTGGGCACAAGTGATTCTAGCACAAGTAGAATCACTGACTGTTAGGGCTTTGGGGGACCTCAGAGATCATTAAGAATTGACCTGGGCTGGGGATTTAGCTCAGTGGTGTTGCCACCTGCCTCACAATCACAAGATCCCAAGTTCGATTTCCAGAACCAAAAAAAAAAACAAAACCAAAAACAAAAGAATTGACCCACTTATATGTGCCATAATCCCAGTGCTGTGGGAGACTGAGGCAGCAAGATCCCAAGTTCAAGCCCATCCTGGGGCAACTTAGCAAGACCCTATCTCAAAAAAATAAAAGAGGTCTTGGGGTTGTAGTTCAGTGTGAACCCCCTTAGATTAAGTCTCCAGTACTACAGAAGCAGCAATGACAACAACAAAAGAAGAATTGAAGGGCTGTGGATGTAGCTCAGTGGCACAGCGCCTGCCTGGCCAGGCCAAGGTCCTGAGTTCGATTCCCGGTACCTGGGGGGAAGAAGTATTGATCCGCTACAGGGACTTGTGTAACTACTTCAGTTACCTGCCTTTTGGTCTGTGGGAAACTGCAACTTACATTTCATACTATCTGTCTTTTTTTTTTTTTCACAATGTCCAAAGTTTCAGGGATAGAATAGGTGAGATTCCAAATCAGTGAGACCTAATTTTTGTCATTTAGTGCAGCTGCTGAAACTGTTAACATTGAATCAGATTATTGTATTGTGCTCTCTTGCACTCAGTGGGTGTTATTTTACAAATATTTTTAAAAGTTTTCTTCATTCCCTACATTTCAAATACTCCCTTTGATGGCAGACTTTGAAATATTTGTCTGTGACAAAGCTTAATGACACCAGTAGGTTACAGTTCGGTGCCTATCAGAAGCACTTGTAGAGAGTTAAAAAATATTCTTCCTCTGGTCATACTGAGTAACGAGCCTAGGATAAGGCTGTTGTCTACAGACGTGACTCACACCTGTAGTCCTAGTGCTTGAGAGGCTGACGCTGGAGGATTTTGAGTTAGAGGCCTACATCCTGAAACCATTTCTCAAAAAAACCCTAAAAAACAAAACAAAAACGGGAAAGGGGAAGTAAAAAGAATTAAGATGTGTTATGTGCATGTATCAACTCTCCACAACACTGTAATCATTATATACTGCAAATGTCCTAATAAAAAAGCTTGGTGTAATGGCGCATGCCTGTAATCCCAGCATACTGGGAGGCTGAGGCAGGAGGATCACCATGAGTTCAAGGCCATTCTGAACTACATAGCAAGAGCCTGTCTCAAGAAAAGCAAAAACCAGCCGAGCGTGGTGGCACACACCTGTAATCCCAGCACTCGGGAGGCTGAGGCAGGAGGATCACTGTGAGTTCGAGACCAGCCTGGGCTACATAGTGAGTTCCAGGTCAGTCTCAATTACATAGTGAGACCCTGTCTCAAAAAAACAAAACAAAACAAAACAAAACCAAGAAAAGCAAAACCACAACAAAACAAAATAAAAAAGGCTTTAGTCATCTGTATACTGTATATAGAAAGATTTAAAGAAGTGCAGGTGCCTCTGTTCCATAAAGACAGGCAGGCCCTCTGCTGTCCCAGCATGAGCCTCATAAAAGCTGCCAGCGGGGTCCTAGAACTGGAGAGGGTGTCAGGGCAGCACCGCAGTGTTTCTCCTCCCTCTTCTCCCACCCTGCCTCACAGTGTGGACAACAGCGAGTACATGCGCAACGGCGACTTCCTACCCACTCGGCTGCAGGCCCAGCAGGACGCCGTCAATATTGTGTGTCACTCCAAGACGCGCAGCAACCCCGAGAACAACGTGGGCCTCATCACGCTGGCCAAGTACGGGGCACTGGGCAGGGCTGGGCGTGGGTGGTCTGTCCTGCCTCCGGTCACACCGTGCGGCTGCCGCTCTACCGATGCCAGGGCGCTGCTTTTGTCCATGACCTTCCTGGACTGCATTCTTCACAACTTTCTGTTATTGCCGAGAGCCATTTGCTTGATGTTAACCTGATTTAGTGCAGTTTTGAAGCCAAGACTCCTGGGATGAAATTTCACACTTGTTTTGATTTAATTTTATTTGTTTACTTTTTTGTGTTGCCAGAGAAGAAACCCAGGGCCCTATGGATGCAAGGTTAGCGCTCTGCCACTGAGCTGTATCCTCAGCCCTCGTAGTATTTTATTTATTTGTTTCTCCCAGTATATTTTAAGGTCAGGGCTGGGTGTAGAGCACTTGCTTACAATAGAAAAGGCCCTGGGTTCAATCCTCAGCACTGCAAAAAGGAGGGGGAAAAAGCCAATAAAATAAAAAGTCACCAAGAAGATTTTTTGATTAGAGCCCCTGGATGTACATCACACATCCTGTTGCCCAGAAAGTGATCTTTGGGAACTGATAGCCTTGGAGTCAGCAGCCTTCCGCCCCATTACACATCCTGTTAGGTGCATAATAAATCTAGAGATGCAAAGGGAGGGAGGATCCCTGTGGCTCCAGGGTCAGAGGAGATAGGGTGAAACCTTGGCAGTCTGTGAAGGTGGATTTCTTACAGTCACTCCCTCTGTGCTGGGCAGGCCTTAGAGTAAGAAGAATAGAGATCTCACGGTCTCTAAAGAGAGAAAAACAAGGGCTGAGGGTGTAGCTCAGTGGTAGAGTCTGCCATGTGCAGGGCCTGGATTTAATCACCAGTACCGCAAAAAATAAAAATTAACGGGCTGGGGATTTAGCTCAGAGGTTCCGTTGCCTGCCTTGCAAGCGCAAGGACCCGAGTTTGATATCTAGTACCAAAAAACTAAAATAAAAATTAAGAATTAAAAGGATGTTTTTTTCTGGCTGTAATCCCAGTACTTGGGGTGGGAGTGGGGGCTGAGTAAAGAAGCTTGCGAGTTTTGGACTCCATGGTGAGACTACCAGGGAAAAAGAGTCAGACATGCTCAGGCAGGCTTGGTGCTGCCCCAAGCTCACTGCTTGTTGCCCCGTCCCAGTGACTGTGAGGTGCTGACCACACTCACCCCTGACACCGGCCGCATCCTCTCCAAGCTCCACACTGTCCAACCCAAGGGCAAGATCACCTTCTGCACTGGCATCCGCGTGGCCCACGTGAGTCCCCCAGTCCCCGTGATTGTCCTGCCTCCAACACCACTCATCTGCGGGGTCCTGAGCTAGGCCTGAAGGAGGCGAGCCCCTAGGGTGGAGGGTGCCCCCGCCCACCCCCAGAGAGGCCACAGGAGCCACTGGCGGGACTGTCCGGGCGGAGCGACTCCTCGGGTTGACCCTGCAAACTCCTTCCTCCGCCAGCTGGCTCTGAAGCACAGACAGGGCAAGAACCACAAGATGCGCATCATTGCCTTTGTGGGGAGCCCCGTGGAGGACAACGAGAAGGACGTGAGTCCAGGGCAGGCGGGGGCCCTTAGGATGGGGAGTGCGGTCTTCGGGTTTGGCACCGCCTGGCTGTGCAGCGGGCGTCAGAATACGGCGTTTGCACCAGGTCCCTGCGGAGGTCAGCAGCCCCTGGGCACCGTTAGGAGGCGCGTCCGTTCCCCTTCACGTGGAGTGGGTGTCTTGATTTTTCTCTTTTTTCCCAGCTGGTGAAACTGGCTAAACGCCTTAAGAAAGAGAAAGTGAATGTTGACATCATCAATTTTGGGGAAGAGGTGAGTCGGGACCGGAAGGCGTGGTCACGCCGGTGGGGCTCTTGGAGCGCCTTCCCGGGGAGGCCTGGATGGAGAGCACAGGGGCAGGAAGGAGGCTGTCACGGTCTCCCCTCCCAGGAGGTGAACACAGAGAAGCTGACGGCCTTCGTGAACACGCTGAATGGCAAAGATGGCACCGGCTCTCACCTGGTCACGGTGCCGCCTGGCCCCAGCTTAGCTGACGCACTCATCAGCTCCCCCATTCTCGCTGGCGAAGGCGGGGCCATGCTGGGCCTTGGTGCCAGTGACTTTGAATTTGGAGTGGATCCCAGTGCTGACCCTGAGCTGGCCCTGGTAAGCGAATGCGGGCCCGAGTGGGGCCCGGGGTCCTTGGTTCTCCTCCGAGCTGCGTACGTGACAGGGCTAGATAGTCCCGCAGCCCCTTTCTGAGACCCCTTCCACCGCTTCTGCCCAGAATCCTGTCTGCTCTGTAGCACCAGTGTCATTCTCGTTCACTTCTCCCGATTAAACCGCAGGCTTCTCCCAGACCTTCCTCTTTCCCATACTCCTTATCCCTCCAGCTTCTTCCCCACAAGACGAGCCAGCCGTGCCCTTCCCAGCCCCCAGCCAACGCCCCAGCTCCCCTAGGACAGAGGCTGGGCCGCCTGAGCTTGCCCTGTTCTTCTCCAGGCCCTTCGTGTCTCTATGGAGGAGCAGCGGCAGCGGCAGGAGGAAGAGGCCCGGCGGGCAGCTGCAGCCTCTGCAGCTGAGGCCGGGATTGCCAGCACCGGGACCGAAGGTGACAGAGGTGGAATCTGAAGTCCCGGGACTGCAGGGTGCTAAACACGGGAGAGGGATGAAGGCACCGCCGTGGGCACGGGGCGAGGGGGCGAGGGGACTCTGCAGGGCTGGGCTGACAGGATGGCGTGGAGCGCAGCACCAGCCCTCCCTGCCGCCCTCCCCTCCCCAGACTCGGACGACGCCCTGCTAAAGATGACCATCAGCCAGCAGGAGTTCGGCCGCACTGGGCTGCCTGACCTGAGCAGCATGACCGAGGAAGAGCAGATCGCCTATGCCATGCAGATGTCCCTGCAGGGAGCAGGTGAACCGGGGCGGCGGTGGGGCGCAGGCCAGAGGCCGCAGGGGCAGCGGCACTGAGCAGGCCACCTCCCGTCCACAGAGTTTGCCCAGGCAGAGTCGGCCGACATGGACACCACCTCGGCCATGGACACCTCTGAGCCAGCGAAGGTGAGGCCAGCAGCTACCAGGTTCCCTGGCTTCAGGCCTCCAGGCGTGAGGAGCGAGGGGAGCTCGTGGGCCGCCCTTCTCGTGTGCGCACCTCGCTGAGGCTCGCGGGGTCCTGGCTGCTGGGAGCAGGCTGGACAGCTCTGGGGTGCTCCTCCCAGAAGGATGGAAGAGGGTTTGGGAAAAAGCAAAAGGGGTGCGTGTCTGCCAGTGGGAAACACGACTGCGCTGGCCTCTGCTCTTCCCTGCGTGTGATCAGCGGAGCTCCCGGCGCCGCCTCTGCGGTGGGTAGGGAAAGCGAGTGTCCTGCGCCTTGGCGCAGTGCCCAGCCCTGCACTGGGAGGCGAGCGCAGCGGTGGCAGCTCCTGTTCGCCGCTCCGCCCTGAGCGATGCCACGTTTCCCCAGGAGGAGGACGATTACGACGTGATGCAGGACCCCGAGTTCCTTCAGAGTGTCCTGGAGAACCTTCCCGGCGTGGACCCTAACAACGAAGCCATCCGAAACGCCATGGGCTCCCTCGCCTCCCAGGCCACCAAGGATGGCAAGAAGGACAAGAAGGAGGAGGAGAAGAAGTGAGACTGGAGGGGAGGGACTGCGAGGGCGGGGCGGGCGGGGTGCAGTCAGGGCGTGTAACCCTCACTGCCTGAATAAAGTTGGCGGGTTTCCTTTTCGGTGCGCTCAGCGCCGTCCGTGTGTGAGAGGGAGGCCACGGCCTGGGGGAGCGCCTCCCTCCCTTTGGTCTCTGTCCCTTCAGGGTGGTCCTCGGGCTGCCGGCCTGGGCTGTTTCACTTGGTATTAAGAGACGTTTGCTGAGAGCCCGCTTTGTGTTAGGCTCCAAGGCCACGAAAGTAAGTGGAACTGTGCCGGCCCTCGGGGACCGGGAGTCAGGGGAAGAGCTGGCATGCACCGGAGCGGGTGGGCCGCTGGGTGGGCTCCGGGAGGTGATGTGTGAGCCCTCCAAGGCCCGTGCGGAGAGGAGTAGCGTGGGCAGCATGTTTAAGGCTGTTTGAGGACCTGAGCTCTGAGACTGGTTGGGCAAGTGGCCCGGGACACCGAAAACCAGGAGGCGCTTGGCCTGACTCCCACAGCGGAGTCAGCGAAGCCACAGGATAGAGCGTGCGCATCCTCACAGTACACATTCAGGAAGGCTTTCTTGTCCAGCCGCCTGTGGAACGGGGTAGAAGACTGGAACGCAGGTCCCGTCATGTCTTGGGGAGGGGCAGGTTCTGCCAACACATGGCTTTGCTTGGCGTGTTACGCAGCTCCCCGAGAGTGGAAGTGACTGATACATTTGTACCTCTAAGCACCTGCGAGTCCTAAGTGACGGGGTTTTTCTCACAAGTCACATTTGGTTTCAGAAATAAGAATCTTTGAAGTCACGCGTGGTAACACACCTGTAATCCCATCTATTCAGGAGGCTGAGGCAGGAGGATCACAAGTGTGAGGTCAGCCTGGGCAACTTAGCAAGACCCTGTCTCAATAAAATTTTTAAAAAGGGCTGGTGATGCAGCTCAGCAGTAGAGCTTTTGCCTAGCATGCATAAGGCTCTGGATTCAAAACCCAGTATAGAATGAAAGAAATCAAAAAGTTGTTTAAGCATAAGGTCCTGAGTTTGATCCCATTACCAAAAAAAAACTTATTGATACTGTATTGGATTCCACATAACAACTTAACCTGTAAGACCCCATTATATATTGAGTTTAATTTTTCTAAGCCAGCAGGGTGTCGGTGTTTTTCCCGTGTAAGCTGTACACAAGGCTGGCTTAGGTGTCCCCTCCCCTGTTCTGGTCTCGCTGTGTAGGTCAGGCCAGCTTCATACTCACTTTGTGGCTCAGTCTGGCCCTGAATGTGAGCTCTTCAGGCTCCTCCTGAGGACTGGAACGACAGATGGGTGCTCCTGTGCCCGGGGTTTTTGTTTTTGTTTTTTCGAGACAGGGTCTCACTAGGTAGTTCAGGCTGGCCTTGCACAGCAGTCCTGTCTCAGCCTCCCGAGTGCTGGGGTTACAGGCGTGCACCCCCATGCCCGACCACCTCGCCCAGTTTTGACCCCCCATGTGAGCTCCTTGTTTGGGCTTTTCTTCCTCCACTCGTTCTTGAAATACTTGTCCCGTGGTGGGTGAATCTATGGTACCCGTGCTGTAGCGGGCTGTTTGTATCATTGAAAGTTCTAAAAGCTTTGCCCTCGCTGCACTGGTCTGGCTCTCCGGCTCCAACCCGGGCTTTCTTAGTTCTCTGTCCGCTCTTGCTTTTAGCATTGCCAACATCTCACTCTCCGAGGAATCTCTCACATTTCTGCATGACTTCTGTGTGTCAAGTTTCAACCTGTGTCCCTTTGGCATCTCAAAGCAAAAGCGCTGTCCCAGTTATTTTGAGATGGGATCTCACTAAGTAGCTAAGTTGCCCAAGATGGGCTTCAACTTGTAATCCTTCTGCCTCAGCCTCCCCGAGTGCTGTGATTACAGGTCTGTGCCCCCACCCTTGGCTTGTTTTCATACTTTCAACTTCTGAGAGGTCTTTTTATTTTCTGAATGTACTTTAATAGCATCCTTGTCTTTTATGATGGGTGTTGGTATCTTATTTTTCTGAGGGTGTGTGCGTGCGTGTGTGTGTGTGTGTGTTACTTGGGATCAAACCCAAGGACTTGCTTGTGCTAGGTCAGTGCTCTACCACTGAGCTGTATCCCGAGCCCCACTTTATTTTTTTGAGATAGGGTGTTAATGCAAATTTCCTGAGATGGAAAAGAAATGTTTGCCTCTGTATTAAGAGGCCACTGATAGTCTAAAGATTGACCCAGGTCGGGGGATGTAGCTCACCAGCACAGCGCCTGCCTGGTAAGTGTGAAGCCCTGAGTTCAATTCCCGGATCCAAAAAAAAAAAAGAATGACCCAGACATGTTCAGCCTGGCAAGCACATGAGTTTATCAGAGGTTAAAAACTTGGCTACTACACCACTGAAGTCACCAGCCCCCCCTTCCTAAGCTCCTGGCTTTACACAGCTCTAGTTAGAACAGGAAAAGCAGGGTGAAAAGCAAGAAGGGGCCTCGGGCAAGGTTGAGGGCACTCAGTGCCTGTCACACCCTTTTGTGTGACACGGCTCACACGGCGGTGAATGGCCTTGTGCTGGGGTTTGGCACCTGAGCCCCTAGCAGGAGTGGCTGGGTTCTGAGACCTGAGGCTGTTCCCAGGTCTCATTATATTGCCCAGTGTGACCTCAGTCTCACCCTTCTGCCTCAGCTTTCCCTGAGTAGCTGGGGTAACCACTTTTCTCCACTTTTCTTTTTACTTTTTTTGAGGCAGGGTCTGGCTGTGTAGCTGAGGCTGGCCTCAAACTCACGATGCTCTTTCCTCTGCCTCCTGAGTTCTGGGTTACAGGCGTGCACCGCTATGACCAGCTTTGGCTCCACTTTTCAAACTACATTTTTCATTTGCTGTAGTCTGTCTCCCTTTCTCTTGGATCTTGTGATTTTGTGCTTTTTAATTTTTGCTTTCCAGTAGCAGGGAACTGAACCTAGGCTTGCCCACCGGGCTGTGTCCCCACCCCTTTGTTTGTTGCAGTACTAGGGATCAGACCCGGGGTGCTGTCCCAGCAGCTATATCCACAGCCCTTATTTATTCATTCATTTACTTTTTGGTACCAAGGATCAAACCTAGGACCTTTCACTTGCGAGGCAGGTGCAGCGCCACTGAGCTCCATCCTTGGCCCCTGCCCTTTTTTATTTGGAGGTCTCAGTAAGTCCCTAAGTTGCCCAGGCTGAGCTCAAACTTTAGTTCCTCTTGCCTTAGCCTCCCAGAATGCTGGGATTGCAGGTTTTTATTTACACTTTCTGATGTGTTTTCTCAGGGGAATAGAGATAAATATTCAACCCACCACATTTAACCAGAAACTCTTTACTTCCTTAGGTCTCAGTAACCTCTTTTCTCTACCTCACAAAGTAGTTGTGAAAATTAAAGGTGGTGGTCCATTTGTAACAGGATAGTGAAGATATTTTTTCCTGTTGTCATGAAATTTGAGCTGAGTTCCTGAGGAGCAAAGAGAACCACGTAGGTTTCCCCACATGGTAAAGGAAGACTTAATTGGATAAATAAAAGGGCACAACCCCACCAATCATGGCTTCTGTTACGGCTGTGTCTAGGTGTCGCCCCAAAGCCTCATGTGCTCATAGGTGGGGCTTTTCAGAGGAGGCTGGATTTATGGATTAAGGATGTGATAACTAGATTAATTCTTTGATGGATTTAGTGTCATTCTGGGTGTGGGTAATGGGAAGGCCCACCTGGTTATGGGTGGCACCAACCAATAGATTTGTAGCCTGGATGGGATAAAAGGGAAAGGAAGGCTTGCTGCTGCTTGCTGCTCACTGCTTCCTTGCCATGGACTGTTTCTCCTCCTTTGGAGCCAGCAAACTGTGGACTGAAATCTCTAAATTATGAGCTGAAATAAACCTTTCCTTTAACTTGTGGGTGTTGGAAATCATGTCTCAGGGATGAGAAAAGTAACTAAGACGAGAGAGCACAACTTCACCAAACATGGCTTCTGTCATCTTCAGCTTATATATGATTAAAACTTGGACAAGGGGTAGATGGTGCATGCCTGTAGTCCTAACTGCTTTGGAGGCTGAGTCAGGAGGATTGCTTGAGAGCAGGAGTTTGAGGCCAGCCTGGACAACATATTAAGACCCTGTATTAAATAATATAAAGAGGGGGTGGGGCAGGTCCCAGAGCAGCACAGGGGTCCTCTGGCTCCTGCCCACACACTCAGTGCTAACTGCCAGTATGCCTTGGAGTTGCACCCAGAGACAGAAGGTAGTTGGTCATAAAGACTAGGAGAACCCTCAAATGGCCAAGATTTTTGACTCAGAGAAAAAAAAAAATTTTTATAAGGAAGTGAAGCAAGTCACAGAGGAGGAGTGGCCTGTTCTGGAGGCCTTTGTTCTCCATGAATAATTAGTGAGGAAGACCTACTTACTCTAAGGAAAGAACTGAAGTTTGCGGCCAATAATAGTGACTAGAAGTAACAGTGGCTTAAATTAGGCTGAAGTTTTATCTTTCTCCCACTTAGAGAAACCACGGTAGGTGGTTCATAGCATCTCCATCACCACAGGGGCCTACACTCTTTGTCTTGATCACCATCTTTGCCCTGTGGTTTTCATTCTCAGGTTTAACTTATGGTCCAAGGTGGATGGATGTTGGAGCTCCATCTGTCATATGTGCATTCTGGCCAGGAGTCAGAAGCAAAAAAAAAAAGATAGATGGCAAAAGATTTTTTTTTTTTTTTTTTAAAGGAACAGTAGGGCCGGGGATGCAGCTCTTCAATACAGTACCTTTCTGGCGAACTCGAGGCCCTGAGTTTGATTCCTGGTATCAAAGGGGAAAAAAAAGGAACAGTGTCAGTGTTTCTCTTATTTAGTTATTTATTTATTTACTCATTCATTCATTCGAGCCAGGGTTTTGCTAAGTACTTCAGGCTACCCTTGAACTTACTATGTAGCCCAGGCTAACCTGGAATTTGTGGAGATCCTCCTGCCTCAGCCTGCCAAGTGCTGGGATTACAGGTGTGTGCTGCCATGCCCAGCTAT